ATATCGGCACCTCTGATGCATTCCTAACCGCCTCCCAAGCATGGTGAGAAATAGAAACACTCTGATCAAGTTCTCTCCTTCCCCGACTCCCCTCTGAAATGACAGGCTGGACGAGACAGTGAATGCCAGTAATTTTGTTTACTCAAATTTAGGCATAGTTATCTACAATATGCATGATTCAATTTGTGATCAAGCAAGGAGACGAAGGTGGAAGTTAGGATGGGATTGTTGACAAACTGGTCTTTGCTTCTTTTTCTTACTTTTTTGTATACAAAACAAATATTAGTTGAGGTGAGAGGGTGATCAAGATAATCGCCACTCCCTACCAATGGGCCACTGAGGTTGGCAGTTTACATTGGTTTTGTTCCTCATGTGAGTGAGTGAATGCGTTCGTGTTCTGCTATGCATATCAGTTGAGAGGAGGAAAATTAGGGAGAGGAAACAGATAAAGGGAGGGGATAGCGATGAGGGGCATACTCAGAAGTTACTGTGGTGGTGAGGATCGGTAGGGTGGTGTAAAAATATTAACGGAAGATATCTCCACAGGGTGGACACGCCTCATCCATTTCAGTGCGAACAAGAATCTGCAAGGAAGGAAAACTAGTGGTAATGTACACGCTGCTGAAAGCTCATCCATCCTATGGATGAGGACAGACGATATTGATAAATTACCAAATATGCCTAATAGGATGAATCACGGTCGATCTCAGCAGCCCACCCGTCAGCATCGTCCCCCTCCTCGTCAGAAAGGCAGCGATTCAGCAGCTTAGGTGGTGTCGACAGGCGAGGAGACGGCAACGGATTCACCCCTCCACAACTCCCGACCTCATTTTCAAGACCAGTTAACTTCCTATTGCAATGACGACGACGTCTTGCCGTTGTCGATGGCTGTAACGTCGATGGCTTCTTCCTCTCCTCTGCCCTCTGCTTCTGCTCCCTCTCCCTCGCAGTGGCACGCTTCCGCGCTCTCCTAGTCTTCGTCGAGGCAGGCGCTCTATGCCATCCTCCACCAGAGGAACTGGCACCTGGTTTCGAAGGCGATGAGCTCCAACTTTCCTCTGAGAAAGTACTTCCACCGCCACTCCGTAAGTAGTCCGACTGAAGGGGTAGTGAAGCTGGCGCCACCCTCAACGGCACAACCTCCGTTATGGTGACAGCACCCACGACAGCAGTAGGTTCGGTGGCGCCAACTATCGGCGCCCGAGGCTCCAATTCATCCATCGGAAAGGGCAATGTGGGCGTCTGTGGTAGAGTTGCCTTCTCTAAGTTCTCTACACACTTCTCTGAAGCATCGACGGAAGAAAATATCACTCCGGATACTGCTTCCTCCCCGGGCTGCTCTAGAGGAAAGTCGCTCTCGCAGAGGAAGAGGGAGTCACGTTTGGCTGCCAGCAACTTTGGTGGTACACTCACTACCGGTGAATGAGATCGCAGGTACGCCAATGGGGTAGTTGCCATTAAACCGAATTGTTGTTGTTGTTGCTG